GCTCCAAGAGGGCGTTAACTAATCAAATTCTCTCAGCTAGTAAATAACAGACCGCAGTTCAAACCCGGCCCTGGCTCGAGCTGCGCTTTCAGTGAAAAGCTGGATGTCAGACGGCTTTTTAAACGTTAACACTGGCAAGTGGGGAACTCATGGGCAAAAGAGGAAATACTAAAGGCCCCGTACTTCGGATATAGTGCAGACACGCCAAGAGCGCCTCACGTCCCAGGGAAGGGAGAGCGGCTTCTTAACTGGTTGCCCAGGCGGCCGGGTGGCCCAGGCACTTTGGAGTCCGCTCCGGCAGCGCAGGCTTCCTCATTGGGCTCCCTCCAGGCTACGTCAAAGCGCAGACGTCAGGAGGAGGCGGGACTTCCGGGCTCAGCGAGCCAATTCCGGCCGCACCGGAAGTAGCTCCTGAGCGATTGCACTAGTGATACCCGCCGCCTGAACCTCCTGGCGAATCTAGTGTTCCGCCGACTCGGAAGAAAAATCGGGCGGGGATTTCTCCGCGAACTGCCAAGTTTTCGGGGGTAGTGGAAAACAGGCGTGGGGACATGGACAGCCGCTTGCAGGAGATCCGGGAGCGGCAGAAGCTACGGCGACAGCTCCTCGCGCAGCAGGTCCGCGGCCCAGGGAGGGATGACGAGTGCGCATGCGCCACTGTCCTCTCCCCCTGTCCCCTTCTCCCTGTCCTGTTCTGTCCCCTTCCTACGCGGTTTCCGGGCTCACTCACCCTTCTGGACTCAGCTCCTGTAGTGGTGCCCCAAGTATTTTCCACTTTCTGCCGGGGGTGTTGTGGTGCTAAACCCACCGCCAGGAGTGACCGAAAGCAGCCTCTCTGGGCCGCCTACCCACGCCAGGCACCAGGCTCAATGATGGGTTCAAAGCTCTGGTCTTGTCTTTGTGAAAGCAACCCCTAACAGTACAGCCAGGAAAAGACCTTTTTAATTCCTAGATGTCCTATCGAAATGGTCTTCTGTGTCTCGCTTCTCCTCGTAGTTAGCATCTGAGGTTGTGACTTCATTGTGAAGGAGCTACACCGTCTTTTGGGATCGTACCCTGTGGATGATCCTCTCGTCGTCACAGTTCCTTCTAAAATAAATGGTTGTATCTTCACATGTTTAATAAAGATCAGGCTTCAGAGCTTAAATAACTTTGCCACGGGTCATTCACTGCTAAAAGTGGACCGTAGTTGCTATGATCCTCAATTTATGCCTCCTTTTTTATTTAATTCTTACTTGCTTTCAGATGATACCAAATTATATTTGTTGAATCAGTATATCTAGTGCAACCCTAATGGGAAATCTAATGTTGACCTAATGTTGGAACTTGGAAAGACAGTGCCATGTGTTAGCAAAAATCTGAATTTAAAGCACTTTTCTTGGAATACATAGCCAGATTAGGCACCAGGAGGAACTCCATTAGTTCATTCACATATTTGTTGAGTATCTGCTATCAGACAGACATTATTCTAGCTAGGGAACATAGCTATCAACAGGACAAAGTTCTTCTAAGGTGACTTATATTTCAGTGTGAAGAAGAAATAAGCAAAAATGAGCTAGTTAAAAATAAATAAGTGGAAGTTTTGATAGGGACTAGTATACAATGTAATTTGGGAATGCATATTAGTAAAATAATTGAAAGTTATATTAAGTGATTTGATTTGAAAAAGGAAATGACCTTAAAAGGAAAATAATGGGAAAAGATTCCTTTTTCTTTATAGTGCTTGAAAGAGAAAGATCAGGAAGGAGTCAACACTGGGAAGGTTAGGAAGCAACCCAGCTGTGCCAATTGGCTGTGTGCGTGACTAAGGGAACAGAAGTTAGGACAGTTTTATGGTCAGGAGCAGTTGATAGATTGGAGGAGACATCACTGGGGAAACCTTAGGATAGTCTTATAGAGGAAGGCTAAAAGGACCCGGGTGACTGAGATCCAGCCTGGGGACTGGGCAACTCTGATATTTTAGTGTGCCTTCTCCCCTTTCAACTGAGTATGTCCTCCTCATGCTTAAAAGTAGTAAATGGCTGCTCTTGGCCTATAAATCACATTCTGCATTTTTTGGTCTGGCTTTGAAAGTTTTCCCTGAACTAACCGATCTCACTCTTCATAGCCAAAATTATCTCAACTGGTGATATGTTTATGTCTGTTATATTTTGCAAAATTTCCCACCAAAATTTGCATTGCCATTTTTAAGGAATTTGTAAAATGTCTAGTGTTGTGCTGGTAGTCATTAAGTAAAGACTTGGCTCATCAAAACTCCTTATTTTTATGACAGCAGTGGATAAATAAGGAATATGTGACCTGATGGATGCAAAGTGTTTATTTTAACATAGTGAGAACACTAAATGTTAATTACTTTTTTGGAGATTGGCTAAAGTGTCTTAACTTTGAATAGAACTTAAAGTGTGAAATGCTTTTTAGCTGTCAAAATATTTCTTAATTAACTTGGTTTTATTATCAGTATTATTATTGTATCCTGCCAGCTGATTAATCCATCTGTTCACTAAGGTACTTATAGATTTCTTTTTAGTACTGGAAATATTAAATGCTGCTACAAATGGCAGGAAAGGCTCTTTCAATACTTTTTTGTGATCTAATTTTTTTGCTTGCTTGTTTGTTTTTTTTTTGCCTTTTCTCAGCTGGGAGCCGAAAATGCTGACAGCATTGGTGCTGTGTTAAATAGCAAAGATGAGCAGAGAGAAATTGCTGAAACAAGAGAAACTTGCAGGTCAATTGAATTTTTTGTTCTTTTAATTACATGTCCTCTTGTAAAAGGATCGTTGTTTTAATGAACAAATAATCCTAAATGTGTAGTACATTGTTATGAAAAGTATCAAAATAATTTCAGAAACACTGGTTTTCAATGTTAGTTCATGAGTTACAGATATTTTTTCGAACTGCAGGTATTTCTCATGGATAAAATCGCTAAAAACCAGAATGTTAGAGGAAGATTTCTAATTACATTTTAAAAATTCTTAGAAAATACTTACCTAAAACAGTTCATTATTTAATACCTCATAAAGCATTTCAGATTTTTTCCAGTGTGCTAATTAATATAAACATTACTATAAGTTTGAGACATATTAGAATGATACATAATCCAGAAATTTCTTTTTGCCATATACTGCCAGTAACAGCTTATTTCCTTAATTGGTTGCTTTCTCATAAAAATCAAGTGTGGAATCATTAATTACATCATGAGACTTTAGATGATTTATAAGCTGGGTGAATAGGTACTGTTAAATCAGGACAATTTCTACTGTTTATGGAACCAGTTATTTGATATTATTGGTAGAAGTATTTGTACTTCTTGTATATATCTGTGCATGATTGTAAGTTTTAACTTCCCAGGGCTTCTTATGATACCTCTGCTCCCAATGCAAAACGGAAGTATCAAGATGAAGGGGAGACAGATGAAGACAAAATGGAAGAATATAAGGTAGAGAATGAGGCCATTTTATGGTCAAGACAGAAGAAAAATAATTTGATGAAAGCTAAACTTTGAAATTTTCAGATTGTCAGTAAATGTGATCAATTAAACTAAAACAATTCTATCAATTTCTTCCTTTTAGTCAAGGATTTGGTGGGATAAGATAAGTGATGTGTATTAAGTTCTTTGCATAATGGCTAATAAGCACAAGGGTAAGGAAGCAAGTAGTGTATCAGAAATTCTGAGTAATTGAATAAGATTTTGAAAGCTTATAACATTCTCTTTTTGACTTATTTCTTGTTAACAGTGTAGGGTGTACAGTTATCTTGAAAACTCATGTGCTAGACAGCAATGTAGAATCATTTTTGAAAGAAGCCCTAGAAAAAAACAACTTCTAAACAGGACAAAGCATACTTAGTTGAAAAGAATGTGTTATGGACAAAGTCCCTCATACTACCGCCATTTTTTCATGACTGGTTGTATAACTCTACTTAACAGAGAATACATTATTTCAGTAAATCTCTAGGAAGTTCAGTGATCTAATTATTGATCTAATTATTGATGTGTGCTTAGATGTACTTTAAATATTTGTGACAATTTCAGACCACATCCAATTTCTGATACATGCTTGACCTGTAAAAGCAATAGTTTCATATGATTATAAAAGCATAGTTTCATATGATTCAATCTGTTAGAATTAAAGTTGCCACATTGGTGATCTTATGTTTTGAATCAAAGTAAATTCAGATATTTATGGTAACATATTAGAGACTATTAAAAATGCTAGGCAGGGCCCTCCCTGGTGGCGCAGCGGGTTAAAGCACAGCACTAAGAAGCTTAAGCCACTTCCGCATGAGTTAGATCCCCGCCTGCCCCGGAGGTGACCACATGGCGTGGCAGACCTCTCCTGACCCGCCCGCTGCTCCCCTCAGCAGTGTACTTCATTGATCTGCCTGTTCTGCTCCCCACTCTGTCTCTGGTGAATCCTCTCACCCTCCGCATCTCTGGCCTGTACCCCAGTTCTGTATGAATAAATAAATCTTTAAAAAAAAATAAAAATAAAAAAAAATGCTAGGCAATTTGGTCAACAAAATAGACCATTTTTGATGAGAATGAAAAGGAAATTTTTATTGTATTGTAAAAATAATCGACTGGTAAGATCAACTGATGGGAATGCAAAGGTCTGACTTTAATGGTAATTTGAAAAATATATCCTTCATTGGGAAATAAAATATATTTTGTCTAAAGAAGCAAGATAACATGATATATTACTCCTAGGCATACTATATTTACTGCATCTTTCTTTTTCAAGGATGAACTTGAAATGCAACAGGAGGAAGAAAATTTGCCATATGAAGAAGAAATCTACAAAGATTCTAGTACTTTTCTGAAGGTAAATAATTTTCAGGTCTTGGAACTTCACATTTTATCTCTGTGCCTGAAAAGATTTTAAAGGTTTGCTTTCAGTTACTTGGTGATCGTTATTGTGAAATAAAGAATATTATTTTAAAATACAAGTATTTATGAGCTATTCTTCTGATACTTGACTTTTGAAATTATGTTTTATTAATGTCTGGCTACTGAAGAATAAAAATCATTTGAGTTACGGTGCTTTTAGATATTAGTATTTTTTTAATCTGTCAATCAACTTAAGTTTTATATAGCCTTGTAAGAGAAAAACAAAATTTCATGTATCTGCCATCAGAGTGTACAACGTTCATTTCATTTTGTTATTTTTTCTCTAGGGAACACAGAGTTTAAATCCCCATAATGATTACTGCCAACATTTTGTAGATACTGGACATAGACCTCAAAATTTCATCAGGGATGTAGGTATGTCAGATTTGTTGGGAATATGCTACTGCTAACTATTGATGATGAGCATTTAAGTTACTCATGTTGTGGGTTAAGTTTCTTACAAATGTTTTTCCTTGGCTTGGCTTCCCCATTCTGCTCTCAGTACTTGTACTGTCCCCTGCTTTTCTCTCCCTCTCTTCTTCCTTTACCAGTTTGGTTCTAGACTCACTTTTATTTTGCCTTCATTTATTCCTCCATTGATGCTTAACAGAACAGTTTGGCCCAGAGATAGGCTGTACAGCATCAAAGCTGTAATAAGCTCATGCAGAGACAGACCCATGTTTCTGATAAATAATTCCCCTTCTTTTTAAAGAACTAACATTTCTTGTAAGGCACTTGTACTGGTAAGTTTGGTGTGTCTAAAAATGTATTTCTTTTTCACTTTTGGAAGATAATTTCAGAATACAGAATGCTAAGTCATGTTCTTTCAACACGTGAAACATTCTTGTGTGCCCCTTTCTGAAAAGAAATGGCTGACTTTATTCTCCTAGGTGCAGTGTTCTTTTCCTCTGGTTTCTTTATAGATTTTTATGCTTGATATTCTGTAGTTTGACAGTCATTTGCGTCGGTAGAGTTTCTTTGACGTTTTTCCTGTGACGCACTCTGAGCTTCCTTGCTTTGATGACTGACATAAATTTGGGAAAATTCTCAGTCCTCATTGTTCCAGGTATTTCATCTCTCCCTTTCCCTTTCTTCTCCACCCTCTGGTATATTCCCATTATGTGTGTTACCCCATAGTTGGATGTTCTGGAGTTCCTGAATATTCTGACTCTTCATTTTTTGTTGTCTTTGCTTCTCAGCTTTGAAGGCTACTGTTGAGATATCCTCAGGCTCAGAGATTGTTTCTTAATGGTGTCCAGTCTACTGATAAGCCTATTATCCCTACATTTTAAAGTCTTAAGATAATTCATGCACTCTCTAGTTCAGCCATTGAAAGACTAAGTCTAACTTTTCATTGTGTCCACAAGTTAGTGCAGCCATGACCATAGTCTGATTTGGGGACATTTTCACTCCCTCTAAATAAACTCTTGTTTAGTAATCAATTAGTAATCAATTACCATCCCTCCCCCGAGACCTTCATCAGGGCATCTACAATGGGTAAGAGTAAGAGTACACTAACTGCTGAACACAGATTTGACATCTACCTTCAATCACCCTTGGCCCCAGCATTCAGTGACCACTAATTGACTTCCTGTCTCTGTTGATTTCCCATTATAATCATTTCATATCAGTGGAATCATAGTATGTGGTATTTCACGACTAGCTTCTTTCTCTTAGCATAATGTTTTAAAGGATCCTTGATGTTGTATGTATTGTCCCTTCCTTTATCTGATAATAAAGATAAAAGGAAATACTCATTTTTTCCCAATTTGTATAGTCATTAAGAAACTAAAAATCTCAACTAGATTCTTCAAGAAAAATGTTATTTTTAACTAAAATAAAGGGAAGAAACTTAGTTGTTACTTCTTTTCCTGAGATTAGAAAGGTTATATTTGATGCTCCTAACAGTTACTTATTTACCAGAAGAAATGAAAAATTTACAATTTATTGACTTAAATCATCCTTTAGAACATTTGTTTATTTCCCAGCATTTGTAGTTAGGGTCATGAAATATGAAGGTATGATACACAGTATTTTAAAATAAAAGGTTCATAGCTTTTGCATATACTGACAATAACTTCACTTGTACTTCAGTTTGGAATTTGCTCTTTTTTCCCCTTAGGTTTGGCTGACAGATTTGAAGAATACCCTAAACTGAGGGAACTCATCAGGCTAAAGGATGAGTTAATAGCTAAATCTAACACTCCTCCTATGTAAGTGATCTTTTTCAGTAACTTTTTGTTCCCAACTGAGTTTTACAATACTTCTTACCCTGGAATCTTTGTTAGAAAACTTATCTGCACCTGTAAAAGTTAATGCAGTATTTTTTTTATAGTGAAATTAATTAATTTGAAGCTCTAGTGGCAAGTACACTAGGCTCTCATTTCATTTTTCACTTTTCTAGATAGTTTGCTTCAAGTTACTGTATTTTTTTTCCCTAGAAAATGTAGATAAATAGATAATGGAAACTTTTTCTATCATTATAAAAGATACCATCTTTACTTTCATTAAAGAGATCTACTGAATCGTGACTATATTTTTGAAGTGACCAAAAAAAGAATTAAATGAAGAAAAAGAAAAACTAAGTTTGACTCAGCATACAGAGATACTTTTCTGAACATTTTAGAATACTGTAGATAATTTGTTTTAACCTTTGCTAAGTGGAATAATATTTTCCTCAAAAATGTTTTAAAAGGTCTTTGATATTAGAGGATGTTTATTTCCTATTTAGCTTACTTTGAACATTGTGGACATTTGACAATTTGCTAAACTATATCCTGTTAATGATCATAAGAACCACAAAGAAGTCTGTGTATGTGGGTAAAAATATTAGCAGACGCTGATATTTATCCTATTTAAAAATACCCTTACATCTAAAATACATTCATGCTATGTGGACATAACCTTATAGTAAAGGATAATGGTAATTTATACTAGATAGCCGGAAAGAAATGCTACTATAAACTAATAAATGAAAAGTACATCCATCTTTAGAAACTATTTTTAAGAGAAAGATATTTAAAACATACAAATATGTTTTTAAAATTTTCTTTTTAAAATTAAACAGTTGAGGAAAAAATTAACACGTATTTCTTAGATAACTAGATGATACAGGAGGGCACTCACAGACTCACAATTTAGTGTAGATTTTAATATAAAACTGAGAAGTTTATATTCTGAATGTTCTGGGGAGCCATTGATTTTACTTTGCAGTTATATCCATGCCCTAGGGAAGAGCATTGGTATATGGTTTACTGTTTATACTGAAGAATGATATCCATCCATAAAAAGGTATTCAGTAATCAGCTCAAGATTACTTCATATATACTATTTTAGTGATATTTTAGAAATTCCTTTCATCACTATCTATAAGGTATATGAAAATACCCTGTTCTTTTATTATGCTTTTATCAAATAGGTACTTACAAGCAGATATAGAAGCCTTTGACATCAGAGAACTAACACCCAAATTTGATGTGATTCTTCTGGAACCCCCGTTAGAAGAATATTACAGAGAGACTGGCATCACCGCTAATGAAAAATGCTGGACTTGGGATGATGTATGATGAAACTTTTCTACATTGTCATGAGTTATTTACTTTTTAAGTGAATCTTTGTTTATTTGACCACAAAGTAAGGTTTTGTGTGTCATCCCTACTTTTTCAGTTCAGTTCATAAATATTTATAACATGTTTTGTGACTGAAAGTATAAGGTATATTAACATATTAGAGTGTCTTTATATATTTTCTCATGTGTTTCCCAATGTCATTAAGTAACATTTAAAGAACACATCTACTTGAAAGTCCTGATAAATCATGGCGGTTGTTCTTTCAGGATGAATGAGAAGCACTAACTTGTTTTGCAATATTGTTTTGGTTTCTTATAGATCATGAAGTTAGAAATCGATGAGATTGCTGCACCTCGATCTTTTATTTTTCTTTGGTGTGGTTCTGGGGAAGGACTGGACCTCGGAAGAGTGGTAAGGCGGTGTTTTATTAAAAGTGGATGTTTAAATTCGTTTTTAAAATGTATAATATGTGGCATAAGAAATTTGAAGATTAATGTTATTTTTTCCTTCATTTCTAGAGTAGTACTAAAATACTCAGAGGAAAAGAAAGGTCAGAAAGTCATCCCCTATAGTTAACTGGCATAAAGCATGAGTAAATCAAAATAATTGTTTAACGGAACTACAGGAAGAGAACAGTTTAGAGAATTTGAAACTCTACATTTCAGTTCAGAAATAAACTTCTTTGTCCTATTTACTGCTCTTTATGAGTGACTAAAAAGTATTCTTCTGAGTTGCACTAATTGCTGAGTTCCTAATGGAAACCTAATCAAGTCGGAAAAATAACAACATCTGGAACATGTTGTTTGAATGAATGAAAGTGCAGACGGAGTTACAACACCTCAATTTACTTGAGGTACCTTCCTGTATTTCAAAGCTTTTTTTTTTTAACCAAAGTATTTTGGATTTCTAAGTGTCAGCAAAATCACATATGCCTTTTATCCGTTATTAATGGGGGTGTAGGTGTCAGTAGTGTTTGGTCTGGGACTCATTTCTGGGTCAAGAAAGTTTTCCTTAATAAAGACATATGTGTAACAATCTTAAATGTTGGATTTTTTTGAAATTTTTAGTATTAAATATATACAAATAACATTTTATAAGATTCATTTTTAAAAGTTACCAGAGTTTTTTCAGTAATTTTGAGCCTTGTCCCTAGTTTCGTAGTTGGAAGTGGCAAGAATCAAATTACCTTGTAGAGCTATTTTATAATTAAAGAGGGTCTGAGTGTTTTCTTCTCATGTAAAACCTAAATGATATTAAAAATTAGAGCATTGTGAGCATTACATAACACTATGCATTAATATTTAATCATTAACATCTAACACATTTGTCCTTTTTTCATGGCTGTATATTTCAAGGCTAGTATTTCTTTTTTTCTATTCTTGGACAAATAATTACCAAAACACACTCAAATTTGTTGTCTCAGACCTCTACGAGGTTTGTTGTTGGTGTTTTTTTTTTTTTTTTTTTTTTTTTTTTGATGCTGGTTGGTTATTATGAATACTGTTTATTTCTTTTAGCTAGGAATCTCTTTTTTTAATCCTTCTTAGTGTTTACGCAAGTGGGGTTACAGAAGATGTGAAGATATTTGTTGGATAAAAACCAATAAAAACAATCCTGGAAAGACTAAGACTTTAGATCCAAAGGCTGTCTTCCAGAGAACAAAGGTATTGCCTTTACTGTTTTGTCTTATTTTCTCTCCAGGTTTTCCAAATACAATTTACTATTTTAATTAATTTTAGTGGAAATGCTTTTTTCCTGGACTTGTCAAAATTGCAATGAGTATATTTATATAAATACCATTATAGAGTGGCTTATTCACTAGGTCAGGCAACCCCCATCATGCTATAAAAGGAAATTAATATGCCCGTATGTCCTAAACTGCTATAAATCAGATTCAGGCTTCTCAATCCTCTACTCCCCCTGAATTTTTCCTTTCTCTAGATCCAGAAAAGGAGTTGGTGACAAGACTCATAGCTCCTTAACTTAGAGGTGTTTCTCTACTCTTCTTCTGTTTCCTATGTTAGAACCTATACTAAGAACCCCTGAGAACCTCTACTTCAATCTGCTGTCCAGAAGTCTCAGATTGGAACGGTTTGTCCTCAGTCTTTAACTCTTTAGGGAGGAACTAAAGTGTGTGAAGTTCTTTCTGCAAATGGAAAATTCTTTTGAAGGGAAAATAAGCCACCCATGCCATTATTGGTTCATGGAGTCCAGTGAGAGACCGTACTCATTTAATCCATACTCCCCTTCATCCAGATTGTAAGGATCTGAAAACCAAAGAAAGCAAAATTGTTTCACTTTCACACTTATTTATGTTGTGTATCTAGACTCTATATTCATATAAAACAACACTAATATTTTTAATTTTGGCTCATCTGAGAACTGCTTTATAATAATACCATTATCATTCTAATATCCAAAAATCAAGTGCCTTGTTTCCATAACAGATGAAAATAAGTTTCTGTCAAGTGCAGCCAACAAGATTTTGTCACTGACTTCTAAAGTGTGATGGCTCTCGATTTACCATCCTTGTGCCTAGCTTCCCCAGCAGTCTTTCCACACCTGGGATGTAGATTTTCCAATTGTATTTTTGCCTGGCATCCCAAGGATCCAGACAAAGGAGATTGTTTTGAATTGGTGACTGCAGAAATGAAAATGTTACGAAATAGGAATGGAGATAAAGTCCCCTGCTCTGCTCTTACCCTCCCTCAGGAGCACTGCCTAATGGGCATCAAGGGCACTGTTAAACGCAGCACAGACGGAGACTTCATTCATGCCAACGTGGACATTGACTTGATTATCACAGAAGAACCTGAAATCGGCAATATAGAAAAGCCTGTTGAAATTTTTCATATCATTGAACATTTCTGTCTTGGTAGAAGACGCCTTCATCTGTTTGGAAGAGATAGTACAATTCGACCAGGTAAGACCTCAGAAAAATTGGGGAAAAAAGAGACAATATGGGTGTCAAAAATTGCACACAGTACTGCATGAAGTAAAATTCTTAGGGTATCTGATTCCACTTTGTGCTGTACCGCACGTTCACCAACTCACTCTTCTCACTGCTCTTCCATGGTCCCCCCTTCTTTCATTCTAATACCTGACAGACCTTTTCTCCATCTGCTCTAAACCAGCCTCCCCTCCCCCGCCCTTCTTTCCCCTTAAGCTCTCTCCTTTTTCCTCTCAGATCTTATTGTTATGGGCATCTGCTTACCATAGGCAGTCTCTTGCCTGCAGTGTCACTGAAGGCAGAGATCATCCTACCACTTTCCAACCAGCACTCAGGTCTCTCAGTGAGCACAGGGTGAATGCAGTCTGCAGAAAACAGCCACACACTTGTGAAATCCAGACCTTGGCTTTGGCTTTCTTAGGAACAACCATCTGGCTTGCTTCCTTGTGTGCTGGTGTTTCTTCAAAGTTTCAACTTGTTATTAATCAGTACTATGTTGAATTAGTATTTTGGAAAAATATTAAGTAGAAAATAATTAAGCTATTATGGATGAGGGTTTCTTTTGAGGGTCATTGTCACGTGTATCTTTTATTTCTCAGAAAATATAAGAGTAGCCGTTTTAAAAACATTGCTTTTTAATAACATTTTCACTATATAAAAACTGTTTGGCTTTAACTAGTAGAGGTACTATTTAAAGATGGAAGGAGCCAGAATCTTGTTTATTTGTTTAAACAGTTTACATTTAATTAAAAGAAAAGTTGAAGAAGCTACAGTCGAGTAACTGGCGTGACTCCTCCTCCCTGCTTTCCTCCTGCACCTCACCTCTCTGAAGAACACAGTGACTGGAAAATATTTCAGTTACAGAAACTGATGGTATCGATTTTCATGAAATTATATAAAATAATGAGAAGGCTAAAAAGTCTCCTTGCAAAGAAATTTTTTTGCATGTGAATTGTATACCCTATGGTTTGGCTTCAGAAAAGATGATTTTTCCTCAGCCTGGCTTCATTCAATATTGAACTGCTGAAGTTATATTGTTACTACTTTTTGTCTTGTTTTGCTTAAATAACAGACTAAGATTTCACACCTTTATAATTTATTAAACTTTGCTTTTGACACAAATTAGATAAACATTTCAATTCTAAAAAAAATAGTTTTTATTGTAGGTTGTATTTATTATGTTTTCCTTATAACTGCCATTTCTTTACTAATTTTTTAAAGTTCTTCTAAAAAGACTCTTGAAGTCTGTTGCCCTTAGGACTTGTAGTTTATTGTCAGTTTTGTGTGTATCTCTTGGATTCTGTGGTCAGATGTATATTCGTGTATAATTTTTATGCCTCCCTCGCGTAATACTGTGTGATACAGCCTCCTTTATCCAGAGTCGCTCACCTTACACTCTCCTTCACCTAATGTTACTGCACCGAATGTTACTTGCTTTCAGTTTGTGTTTACATGGCTTATTTCTGTCCTTTTGTGTCCAGCCTGCAGCCTCATGTGTGCAGACACACGGCTGTCTTTCATCAAGCTTACCTGATTGAGTGGTGTAGTCAATTTGTATTCTATTTACTGATATGTTTGAACAAAAATTACCATCTGCTCCTTGCTTTACATTAATACTACCCACCTCTGTTTTAATTTTTTGGATGACTTCAATACTATTTTTCTATTTTTTATTAGCTTATTAGATGTTCTTTTATTGCTTCTTCAGTAGTCACCTGCAAAATGACAGCATGCATCCTTTAATTATTAACCTAAATTAAAATAGTATACTATATTTTAAAGGGTGGGAATGCTATAATTGAAACATTGTACTTTCCTGGATTTTTTAAATCTTTCTCAGTGTGCATATGGTTTATGCTTATGTCATTCTGTGCACTGTGAATATACTGTTTTGAGTGAGCTTTGAGTCACCAGATTTTTTTCTGACCATATATTCAAAAACCTTATATAGAATTGTTGTGGTGATTTTATTGCCTTATCAAAGTAAAAATATTTCATAGCACATCTTACAACAAGTAAATATTTTCTCATAAGATTGTGGCTCTGAGGTTTGAGGAAATAAACTTGTTTTTCTTCTCCTTTGTTAACCCAGTCTACCCTAAAGTAGCTCTCAAAACTGGTAACTGTGTTTAGTGGCAACTGCCTAAAGGAGTTGGAAAACTTCAAAGAAAAAAGCAAAGAGTAAAAGCAAACATCAAACATCAAAATATCAAAGAGACTGTAGGGAACTACTGTGTCCCTTGCAGTTACTGTGCAAAGATTCACACACTGCGGCATAGAAGGGACTGTGTAAGCTCTTTTCATTAAATCTTTAAATGTGATTGTTCCTTTCTCCTTGATGGTGTGTGTGTGTGTGTTGTGCTTCACACCACCACAAACCTGCAAAAAGTCAAACTTGAGGGGAGCACATAAAATATCTCACAGACTGAATTGTCAGTGAGCCCAGGAAGTGTGGAAGCTGCTCTTTAATCAGTAAGTTGTCTGCCAGTCAGTGTCCACTAGGTGATACGTAACAGACACCGTGTTGTAATTGTAATATTACCATTATTACCATTGTTATTTTACATTAAAGCCTATTGTCTCTCTGTACTGTTAGGTAAACTGATATTTTAACAATGAACATGTGTGAAGGGTATATAAATTTTTTTGAACTTTCATTATACAGAAGTGTCTGCTACCTTTTCTATGTTTTGGAGGACCAAAAAGATCATCTCCTTTTCCCCCTTCATTTCAGGCTGGCTCACAGTTGGCCCAACTCTTACCAATAGCAACTACAATGCAGAAACATACGCATCCTACTTCAGCGCCCCTAATTCCTACTTGACTGGGTGTACAGAAGAAATTGAGAGACTTCGACCAAAATCACCTCCTCCCAAATCTAAATCTGATCGCGGAGGTGGAGCTCCCAGGGGTGGAGGAAGAGGAGGAACTTCGGCTGGCCGTGGCCGAGAAAGAAATCGATCAAACTTCCGGGGGGAAAGAGGTGGCTTTAGAGGGGGCCGCGGAGGAGCACACAGAGGTGGCTTCCCACCCCGGTGATTTTGTCAGACAGTGGTTCTCTTACTGCCCTGCTGCTTCCTGTAGTATGAATTTCAGTTGGGAGACAGTTAGTTTAGAATTCCAGCTGGCACTTTGCTTTTTACTTTCTCAAGGCTGCAGGAGTATCGGAACCAACCTCCCAGGCAGTTGTCACACACACTGACCAGTTTAGTCCAAGATGAAGAAGTCACCCTACCTTAGACATGTGCATGTAACCGACCAGGATGCAACACCATGGATACCTTCACTTTTAGAGCCTGAATTTGTTCAGACAGATTCCAAGTAATTAAAAAGGTTTTTGCCTTTTAGCACAAGTAGAAATGAGCAGTGAAAAACTCAATCTGTAGCATCTCACTAGTACTTACGGCCATGGATAATGGGTTCCTGCCACTGCTGTCACAGCAAACAGGAAACTGGGAGTCTGGGTAGAATGAACTTAGGACAGATGGTAAGTTCTGCCAGAGTTTTAACAGTCCCTTAATGAAATAGTAAAAAGACTTCTTTTCCTTCCTTTTAAAAAAAATTTGTAAAGTCAGATATAATTTGACTACAGAAGAAAGTGAGAGGCTTTGAACAGTCAGTCAGCTCTACCCAAATCTAAATCTGAGAGGGGAGCTGGAGCTCAGAGGTGGAGGAAGAGCCCTTAGGAAGAGAAAGTACATCATCGTCTTCATGGCATACCTGTAGGTGACTCTTAAATCATGCTTCCTAAGAAGCAAAAGAGGACACATGTACATGTGGTAGCACTTTGGTGTAGACTTGAATTTGGATTCACCCGCATAGCAACTTTATATTCCTTAGCAAAATAAGAGAAGACACCAGCAGAGACACCTACTTACCAGGTGTGTGGCTTCAGCATTTCGGGGAATAAAGTACTGTTGATGAGGAAAAGGAAACACCTTTAAACTTGTCAAGGAAAAAAGTTCAAGGTAAAAGCAGTTATGGAAAACCCTCAGCAAGACAGCTGGGAAGGAGAACTGCGGTCACCTCTTGCCGAAGTCCGTGATTTAAGGAACTGGCTTTTCAGCTCGGTTAGTTGTATGAGTCTTTATGCTGTCATTTCTCTTTCTATATTATATCTCATGTATTAATTGAAAATACGTTGAATGATACACCTCACTGCTCTTGATAAATATATATATTTTTTATTTTGGGTATAATTTTTCTACTGAAACTTTTTAACCGGTGGAATTTGAAAGTATGTCTTCTGAAAGTGGAGCTGGTATTGCTACCAAATGGAAGAGGCTGAGCTCAGGTCAGATTCTTGGTTTCGCCTGGGATGCGCCTCAGTGGTTATTTTGTGCTTTTTCACTGGCTCATTATTAATGCATAAAATGAGACTATGTTATACCCACTAAGGACTGAGTTACAGAGTTGAGATTCCCTACAAACCTGATGATTTAACTTGCTGAAGCTGTTAGTATTGTCCTAGTATAGATGGCATTTGACTATGACAAGTCTGACGTAGCCATCCTGTAACATATGCATCTGACCACCCCAGAGCATCATGTGGGTGTCAGGACACATGACCATCGTAGACCACCATGATAGACATGTGATTACCACATGTTGTGTATGACATGAATTCTGTGTTACACCCATCGTGTGTTGTGTGATGTGATATGCCGTTTGTGGTGCAGGTACATGTTGTTTGTGGTGTGTCACATTGTGCATGTCATTTGTGACATAGTGCTTCCTTCAGTGACGACGGCCACAAAGTGTCATGTTGTTCAAGGCGAGCACGTCATTTATGATGTATGTCATTCATAGGCATCATCTGTGGTGTGTGGCGGCGTGTGTCATGACCTGTATGTGTGTGTTTCAATTGTGGTATGTGTTGAAGTTGGGTCTGGTCTCCCAGGGTCCAAGTTGTAGAGGATCAACACTGGGCACAGGGGCTGTTCTGATACTACCATGGATAGAAGTCACCTGTGAGTCTGAAAGTCATAAACATGCAACCTAAGCTGCATCTCTCCATCTTCTGAAGCCCTGTGTTAGGCCACAGTTTCATTTTCAGCTAAGGGAGCTGTTTCAGCGACATGCCTGGGAGTTAGTATGCTCGCCTTGGCTGAGATTCTTGGGGCTTTTATTCAGAATGATGATTCCTTTTCATGTCTTCTAAAATACCTTCTTAATGGCTAAATTACATTTTGATTAGTTACAGCAGCTAATTTTAAAACCTGTACTGTTTTATCCTGAATTTAAGACCATAGAATTTAGCCTTTGAAGTAGAGTTCCAGATTTTACTCATTTGTTTAATATAATCTTTATTAATTTGACAAAATGATGGCCCAGTGGGGCTCATTCTGAATCGCAGTCTTTGATCTAAAAGTGTCTCATATTTTTGTGAGCTATTAAAAACATAAGCCTTTACATAAAAGCCTTTTATTAGAACAGTCCTATAATCTTGGGGTCCATGTGAGACTTTTTTTTTTACATTATTCTCTTTGATGATTGTTTAGTGGTAGGGAGAGAACTTTAGTTTGGGTCTCAAAAATGTATGTAGTTGGCTTTCAAGTTGTAAATTTTAGGACTTCTGAGGAGGTTAGAACATTTATTCAGCCAACTGAGCCCACAGAATATTCCATTTCTGGAAAAGCCCTATTGCTTCTCTCAAGCTTTCCATTATTTAGTCAGATATAAATATGGCTACAGTGCAGAGCAAACATCCTAGTTTAGTCGACTGTTATTTTTCTCCAGTATTAGATAAAAGATTAAAATGACCAGTATGAGAATTTTTTTAACAGTACTTACCTCTGTAATTGGAGCAGCTAAGAAAGCCAGGATAAGCTAGATTTTGCCAAAAGTACTTCTTGAGTATCTAGAAGTCAAGACTGTAAAAGGCATGTGGGAACCGTGCATGTAACCCAAATTGTGGAAGCAAACCATGAGCGTTTTTTATAGTGGAATAACTGTCTGTCTGACCAACTTTGCGTATAAACATGGTAATTCATTTCCTTCCTCCCATCTGTGCTGTTTCCCCACTTTGATGGATTTTTCTCAGTTCTGCTCTAGAAGAGATGAGGAGGACAAAACACCTTAATAAACAGCCATTCTATTCTGTTAGGTTGGTTCAAATTCTATTAGGTTGATTTTAGAAACCAGACTTTTTCCTGTGCACACTAGTTTACTGTTTCAAATGTCTAGTGGCTAGATCTGATTCACTGAACTCAGAAGTCCAATACACTTTTTCATAAGTGAACATACTGGGTCCTAGGATATCGATTCCGTAACCTTACTCTCAGTCTCCATATAAACACCAGTAATAAGTCTTTAAAGACCATTTCATGGGCCCACTAATAACTCAGTTTGAAAAAATCTGACCTGTCATATATAAAAGATTTCAAAATAAATTCTTAATGCACAAATGTAACTGGTAACATTAACAAGGCAGACCTCTGAAGACCCCCTGAAGTCACTATTCTAACAGTAGAACCTCTGACTAGATTCTAGTCATTTTGCTCCTCCCTGCTTGTTCACAAGATTTCAAGTTGGATTTCCGTGTGTGCGAACATGTGCTTTGGGAAATGGGGAGTCTGGCTTGATGGGAGCCGTGCTCAGGACACGTGCATATTTGAGTCACTGTCATCCAGTGCAGGGAAAACTCACCAGTGGCCTCTGAAAATGGAACCTTCACCAAGGGGAGAACTTTTAAGGAAACTGTTAAATATCACTTTCCAGCCAATAGGACTTCATAAACAGCTGTTCAGAAAAGTTGTTTTTCAAGCAGAAGCCAAGAAACATTAATGACAAGGGGATTGCTATTACTTCTTTGAACTTCTTTCCTCCTTTTTACCCAGACTAGTTAGTATTACTTGTGTTTTCATTTCAGCGATTAAAACTGACCATTTCTCTCCCAAAGAACTGCTTTGTCCTAAAGACTACTAACTAGACTTTCTGGAAGGCTTCAGACTTTCCTTCAGTGTATACTGCCGCCTAGTGGAACAGCTGCTGAATTCGAATTAATTTTCCATGTTTGAAAACATGATCTAAAATTTGTCCTTACTCTTCATTATTTTATTAATGAACATTTTTTTTCCATCTGACTGAACATTAAGAGATGTTTTCCGTTGACTGTCACTAGGTTTCACTGCTGGGAAGTAGAGATAGTTCTAGTTAACAAGTTCCTCAACAAACTTCTTCAGTATTTAAACTCATTTCTTTCATAATGGTCTCTCAACACTCAAAAAGCATATTCTTCTATTTGGTTTATATTACTGAAGTTTTTGGTTTAGCATTTAAAGCAGCTTAGGCAACATTTCCCACATATTGACATTCTTTATCGATCATTTCTGTAACACCGCAAGCAGCTTGATTTTGAGCCTATCAAAATACTCATGACCTTAGAGCAAGTGAATCAGGTAAGTCCTAGTTTTCATGGTCCTTTGAAAATTTAATTTTCAAAACCTAATAACAAATGAATACAATGAATAGCATTGTGTGCAAGGAGATATTCTAAGCTCATATATTGTGTTATTAATTCCTGAAACAACTGAGGAGGAAATTGAGGCACAGAATGGTTTCTAACTTGCCTTGTGTCACATAGCCAAGCAGTAGAACTAGTATAGAAACCCGTCATTGGCTCCACGGCCCCTTTCCTTAGCCATGACACTGCTGTTCCTCAAAGTCTGGGGAGGGCATTACTATTAAAAACAGTATGGTGTGAGGAGCTGCACTCAGGCATTTTTATCAAGTAGTCATTCAAGAGTACTGGGGCACTTGCTGTCTATTGGGTTTCTTCTGTCTTGGAAATTGACTCTCCACTCACATTCAATGTTGCCTTCCAAGTACTCCCTCTGTCTTCCAGCTTCAGCATTCTCTATAGCTCAAGAATGAAACACTACAATGATACATTTTCCCTACATTATATTCCTCTTCCTGAAAGTCAGATCTTCGGGCTGGAGATCTTTGGGCTCCATCTCATGGTGCCTAGAACCAAGAATGCTGGTTTGGGCATTCTTGCCTCCTGAAAGGATGGCTGCTCTATTGACATAACAGGCTGCCCTTACAGATGCCTATCGACAAGCTCCCTAAGTTCTTCGTGGTACCTGTCATTTCCCAAATGCATCAAGTGTGCATTTGTTTTCTGGACACAAGTTCATGGCTGTACATTTCTTCTTGTTAAACTCTTGAAAGCTAATCTGAAACATCTTGACTAATGGAGAGACTTTAATCAGGACTGTGTATTTATTATTCTACTCAATTCCATAACATCTACTAATTTACAGATAACCTTGCTGGCAGTGTCATCTTATTAAGAAGGTACTTAATCATTTCAAGGGCAAGAGGCTGATGATGTGAAGACAGGGTTGCTGTGAGGGATAAAGATGGAAATGTTAAAACACATAGTGAAATTCTTGGGACATATTTATACTCGATACACTTAACACTTAGTATTTATTCATATCAATAATGACAGAGTCAAACAGGGAAGAAACTGCTCGCCTAGGTTTAGACATATTCATCAGTAATGGTCTCATGATGCCAGTTAGCAATTTATTTTGTCCGTAGGATCACCTTAGAAGATTTCAAGGCACTTCTGATATTTCCTAGATTTATTCTCTTACTATTACTTTCCAACTCTCAAAAACAATTTAGTTTTCCCAATTTGTTCTTAATGATTCCTCTGAACAGCTTTTCCCTAGGACACTAAGTACTACCCTTACTGCTTTTAAAAATCTCAAGATAACTAAAAAAATGAATTGTACCTACTGAGTAAGAGCATAGGAAGTGATTTATTGATACTGGTTAAGATCCATTATATACAGGTAGAAACCTTCAAAATTGTACAGAGAACCATTAAGAATATTGGTAAAGACAGTTTTATAGACAAAGCAATTGGAAACTAGTTTTAACATACACGACATATAATTATGAAAAAACAAGTAGAACAGAAACTGTCCTATGAAACAGATTCTAAGGTTATTAAAAGTCTGCTATGCAAACCTTCAGTTGCAAAATGTGTTCAATGGGGTCACATGGCTTTAAAAAATTAGGTATAATGTAAAAATTAATTTTCCCCTCACTGCAAGACAACTTTTTACTCCAAATCTATACATTTTGAAAAATAATTTATATGTTTAGCACAAAGAAAGAAAATTGAGAATGTTTACAGTTCTGTAAACTATGCCTTTCATGAACTGCAAACTGCATCCGTTCAACAAGTTAAAAATTGTGCGATCAGAAACAGACTGTTCCCTTTAAGGTACAAACTGTACCTTCACTGGCTTTATACCTGAGCACCAGAGCTGAAGTGCTGAGTGCCATCTTGGAAAGCTATTCTGAAACTGAGCAAGAAATCAAAACTAGCCTGTTAGCATCTAGAGAATTAGGCACCAAGAAGGAGATGATCTCCTCAGACAGAGAAGGTTCGATTAGTTGAGCAGCTGACAGATCTCCTTGTGGACACAACAGAGGAAATCCACATAAGAGGACCCTCCATAAAGTCCTTTGTCTTCTACCAGGAACTGTCGGAAAAGCATTTCTGGCTGTTCTCGCTGCTTCACTATCGTGAGCTGGGGGAGGGAAACAAAGGGAGATGGTATTAAACACTTTCTGAATATAGTTCAATTTTGTATGCTTCAGTCACCAAAACTGCAGGATGTCCACTGTGTGTGAGGCCTTGGAGAATGCTGGGAAAGTGCTTATTTTTACAGTGGAGGCAGGCAGTGACCCTCAAACCACAAAAACTAAGACATACAATTATAAGTGGTGACAGAAGCAAAGCACCCACAGGCAGGTGTCACAACAGAGGTGACTATCACTTAAGCCTTAAAAGGCAGAATTTCCATAAGGATGAGGGTAGGCGAGCATTCCATAGTGGGGCACCCTGTACCATGGACCAAAGGACTGGCACGGATGTAAACACAGTCTTCCCAAGTCTGGGAGGGGGAGAAACATGAGCAGTTAGGACCTTGGATTTTGGTAGGAAATGTGATCCAGGGAAGGTGCTGAAGAAGGAAGTGATGAGACAGAGCCGCCTGCAGCAGGCTATAGACCACCCGAGGGAAGCTGGGCAGGGAGCAGTGGAGGGGGCAGGCGGACAGGGAGGGGCTGGGAGGGGTGCCCAGAGGTAGAACCCCTGCAAGGTCCCTTGCTCCTCCTCGTCACCATTCTCTAGGGACTTGCTGTCCAGGAGCCCCCTCACTCATCCACACTTCCCTGGAAACTGTAACTTGAAGCCAAAGGATTTACAAGGGAAGCAGGTCCTGGAAAAACATTGTTGCACTCAAGCTGGCCTGAATTTTGTTTTCCTTATCAACATAATAAAACGAGGACCCGCAGGTCACTCGAGGACCTAATGCTCTGTAGGCCCCAGCCGGCCCTGTGCATCTACTGAACACCTGTAACCTGACTTGTCCAAATTGGAAGTGTTCTGAGGCTGGAAACCACACCACGCCAACAGCATATAAAAGGGTGTGAAGCCCAAGCACTGAGTTTACACTGAGATGATGTTTGAGGTATTTTGATTTACCTGTTAATATTACTTCATGTTCTATTATTATAGTGATTTACCTCATATTCTATTAATACATTTTTATTAAATACATAGCACAAAATTGAAAATGGGACTACTCGAAAACGCAGAATTATGCATGCGGCTGCTTGAGTGGACAGAGCGGCGGAAAGTGGGCAGGTTTGCCGTCCACGAAGTGCGCCCTCCTGCGGACTCACTGCTGAGGGCGGGAGTCCGAATGATCTGACTGCTGTGAACTTGCTGCTTACTGAGTCTGACTGGGGGTAGGGTGCTGCACCTACAACACAACATCTACTTATCCCCATGTGAGTCTGGACTTCCACTACAGGAACAACCCTCCCCCCCCAGCCCCAGCCCCATCCCACCTTTATGTTCTTTTGGTTCAGGCTTGAGGTTAACCTTCAAATCACTTCTAACCTCAAAAAAGTACATAACAATTGCAGGTGATGCTGTCACCACACCTCAGCACCTGACAGGTGGACACAGGCCGGTGATGTCTGGGCTCTCAGATGTCGCCGCTGGCACTGGGGATGGCAGAGGAAGAGCTATGTGCAGAGGCCCACCCCGTGCCCCCTTGTGGGGAAGCAAAACCAACTCCTTCACGACAATGCCAGAGAAAGTTAAGACCTGGCACCCAGTGGGCCTGGAGCCAAGGCTGTTTTCTTTCAGCTTGTGCTGTAGCGTCTTCAGTGAGCCATCCAACTCTGCTTTAGCCTGTGACAGGCAACCGCAACCTCAGTCTGGCCTCAGCGACATGCATCAGGCTGAGACTGGGCAGGATAAGGCACTGTGGAGGGAAGGACTTGAGAGTCCGATGGCTTTAGAATTTGATTTCTCTGTGGAAGTTAATGGGGGATGTTCAGATTGCTCATCTGTGGGGCTCTTTTGCTGCCCTTAAGGTGTGTTTCTTTTTGTTTTGTTTTGTTTTTGTGTGGTGCTCACTGTCAAGCCTGCAATGAAGATATCTGGCCACAGTGTGAGGAAGGGAATAGAGCAGGGGAAACTTCATGTAAAGCTAAAGTATGACTATTCTGCTCTGCTATTTGAGACTCAGATGAGCTGAACCCCCGTCAGGTGTTCCAGACTGACATAAAAGGTATGGGCCTGGGGGGAGGTCCCAGGGAAATGGGGCATTTTAAATTATCTTACTCAAACTCAGAAAAGGCTAGAAGAGCTTAGAAAGACTGGGATAACAAAACATTTAAGTGATAATTCTGAAAAAGTCAAATTTACAAATGTTCTGAATAATTCTGTAATGAATTGAAATACTAGAGAACAGCCCTTCCAAAGTCCGCTGATGATCCCGGTTTGCCTTGAGCCTTGAAGAGGATCTTCATGACATCTAAGTTCTACTAAGAGAATTATATGTAGTAGAAATCAGTAGTAGATATACTTAGCAGTTAGTCTGAGTTTTCCATTAAAAAAAGTCGTATTATGAAATTATAGGGTATACATTTTAAAAGCTTTTAATGAAAATTTTAAAAAGCACAAGGGAAAAATCTCATTCTTACCTTCATTGAATATGGCCTCTTCTGTTGGATAATACTCATTATAATTCTGAGCGTTTGAGAATATGGGTTTCCCACCTCGGGAAGTAATGTCTAAGATTTAAGAATATCAAGGCTTAAGTTTCAGTACATATAAAATGTAGCTAGAAGCAACACTGAGATGATAATGTTGAAAAGCTGCCTTCTAAACCATATACTTGACTATTGGCTTAGTTCATTTACCTAAAAACCAAAACTATTAACATACATTTCTTATTAACATACATTTCCACAAATGGACTGTGCTTTGAAAATAAAAATCCTTCACATGAATCTGACACCTCTGTGCCTGTGAAATGATGCAATGGCTATATGTTTTATACAAAGGATGTCTCTGGATCATTCTTCAGAACACTTCATCCCTGGCAAGATGGGTATTTCTAGGGCAAACTGAGAGTGAAAAGGAAGTACTTTATTCCTTCTTTCAAAGGACCTATTTCATGAGGTCCTTTCCGAGGCATAACAGTGTTTGGAAAATTGCCAGCTGAACTCCAACTGTTCCAACATTAAAACCGACCACTGAATCCTAAAAATCTCAAATGTGGCTTCTTAGATTTCCCTGCAATCTGGTTAATGGTCTACACATGACTTCCAGCTGCATGTGGCCTCTGGGGCATGTGAAGGATGAAAACTGTCTTCCACTGAGACAGAGTGAAACGGCAATGCATCTCAGCAAGAAGACACCAAGAGCCACTTGTCGTCTGAGTTTGTCACTAGAAAGTTAGTGTTTGGCCACAAAGTCACTAAGTCTCATGAGGGTGGTTGGCCAATATTTTACATAGAAGTTGTCAAAACAGGAAATCCATCATTTCCATTCACATTTCACCTCCCATGTGTGTTCTTCAACATAGCAGAACATTTTTACTTAATAATAACAGAAAATAAATACACTTCATGTGAGCATGTCAACTTGCCCACTGTCTCTACTAAAAGATTACTGTGGTTGCTTTAAATCTTTGAGAAGGTTGAGAAGACGTGAAGATAAAAGCCCAGACCTACCAGTCTGCTGGCTTGTGGTGGGGTCACTTGGGCTATTTCACATGTGTGTCAACTCAGCAAATACGCATTTAACGTTTACTGTGACGTAAGAGGGGGCTTCCTTAAATGTTGCACATTCTTCAGACCCACAGCTCCCAGACTGCAGAACTTTCATTTTGCTTTTGATTTTTAATTTTGTTTTTGTACTTCACTGATTTTTACTTTTCAGCGGTAATACTGGTGTGCCACGCGGGCCCTGACTCAGAAGCACAGGCGCCCACCTCCTCAGAGGCCTGTCGCCACGCCGCACCCAGAGCCAGGGCGCCCTCGTCCTCCAGCACAGCCCACTGGGCCCCTCCACGCCAGTGCACTCTGCACTTGTAATCGCTCCTTGACTTCAAGCACATGTAGGCATCTTACCATTTCTACGTCTGAATCTCAGAAAGCTAGTCCTGCAGTAAGCACACTTTCTAGCTCCTGGAAAGCACACTCCGGACATGCATAATGGATAGGCAGCTCTCTAACCTGACCACCTAGCTGTGTGGCCTGGAATTTTAATCCTGCCCCTTCCTCCACGTTATTGTGTGTCCATCCCAGACATCGGGGAACTGGTGAGCCTTCAGTCGCTAGCTGTGACATAAAGTGAGGCCCTGGGGAACAAGCTCGGTGCTGCGCCCCAGGAGTGAGCTCACAAGCAGGGGAGGACGACCAGTGCAGCAAGCGGGACAAGCAACATGGTCTCCAAATAAGGCTCGCAACCAGTGCTGGCTCTCAAAAACTGATTTTCCCCATAAGCATCTAAAAGTAGTCATGTCGTTCATCCCACATCTAACCCACATCTCTGTGATGACTGCCACAGACAGGAGTATATTCTGTGGGCTTATCATTTTGTAACTCATTCACCTGACCAGTCCATAACTGAACATACAGGGGGTTTCTGCATCCACTGGAGTTCAGAGTTCAGCACTGGGGCTAAGCCCAGAGCATAAGACCTGAACTCACTTCCCACCTCTACCTGGGAGAACTCCTCTCTGAGCCTCAGTCGATTCATCTGTAAAATGTCGGTAACAACGTCCATCCCACTGATTTGTGGGAATTGATGCAATGTGTCTTGAAAGTACTTAGAGCACAATAACCAAGTAAATGACCTGGGAGGGCTGGCAACCTCTATTAAGACTGATGCCTTGATTGTCTTACAATACTTCATACAAACAGCTTAATACCAACTAATTATTTTTCAGCAAAATATGAGACTTTCTCATTCTTAAAACAGAGCCAGGTACCTTATGGTTTCTCCTTCTTTATAAAACATGTTGCACGTGAACAGAAAACATCTAATGACATATATCTGCACGGCACCATAAACAACAAGAAAGAAATGCTTACCATATTTGTGTTAACATGTGCAAAGGACGGCACATTAAATATTCCTTGGATTAGTTCTGGCGGACTGCTTACTCCCAACCACAAAAACATGTTTAGGCCATCTGCCAACAGGAATATTCCTTCTTCTGAAAGACGGGACTCAGAACAACGAATAGCAGCAGGCAATGCTGTGCTCTTGACGTCCAATGTGTGCTGTGTAGGCAAAGGCCAGAGAGTCAGGAACTCTATACTTCTCTTCCTTCCTTCTCCTTTCCTGCCTCTCCCTCCTGTCCTGGGCATATTTGACAGGTGCCCACTATGAGCCAGGCAGAAAGAGTGAAGGGGAAGCAGGGAGCTGTGGGTGAGCGTGATTGATCAAAGGTAGCAGAAACTCTACTACTAAAATGGAAACCCCAGAGTGCTGTGAGTAGAGGGCACTAGAGTCGACATAAGTACTTTCTTGGGATCACTCTAGCTGAAAACAAGACTGAAGAAGCAAGAACGCCAGCCTGGAGATCTATGGCAGCTACTGCCTCTTGTCAGGAGAAATAATCGTGCTTCGAGAAGAGGTGAGAAGTGGTTTCGTTGTGGCCATTCTTGGACAGGAGAGCTGATGTAAGGGGAGGGGGAGAAAGCAAGGCATTAAGAATGACTGCAAGACTTCTGGCTTGAAGAACTGGCAGTGGGAGTGGAAGCCAGCCTGGAGGTGCTCTCCTGACCAGTTTTAAGATGATCATTACACGCCCAGGAGAAGTTGAGGAGGTGACTGGCTGGTCACATGCGGAGTTCAGGGAAGAGGGAGGACTGGAGCTCGGGACATGGGTTTCATCAGTATACAAAATCCATTAGGATAGATAAGACCCCTGAGGGGGATTGTGTAGACAGACAAGAGAAGCTTGTACCCCCTGGGAACAGGATGAACTAGCTGGATAAAAAGCAGCAGCAGGAAAGGCCAGGAAACAGAAGAGATGGCAGAAGAAGGAAGTTGTGTTTCTAGAGGAAGTGAGCAGATGTTCCCAGTGGGTCAGAAGAGAGGACTGAGAACGGTCCATTGGCTTTAGCAACTTGTGGCCAACAGTGGCCTTGACGAGGGGAATTTGGAGGGGTAGTGATGATGTTCTCGTCCCTTTGAGTTCTGGTTTGTCAGGCATACAGGTTGTTAACAATCTTGTCTGAAATTCAATCATTTGTCATCATTTACATCTAATATTCTTGATAGAAATAGCAGCCTTTGATTCCGACCCAATTTACGCTTCCCTACTGCTCTGTGACTGGCACCTGAGTACGAGTTTGAATACAGGGGTTAGAAATCAGCCATCAGGCTCCCCATCTCTGGCACCTTGGATTACAAAGAACTGGTTAGGTCTCAGAGGAAACAGCCTCAACACAGAGCACAGCGGCATTCAAACACCCCACACATGACGTCTGGAACAGGATGAATGGGCCTCCCTTGCAGACCCCACTGGAGCTGCGCCACCCAGCACTTACAATGGGCAGAAACTGTGGGTAGAAGAATAGCTGGGAGTCAGCCACACCCATGGTCATGACCAGCTGCCTCTGGTACGCCCGTTCGTCTGTTGAGATCTCCGGTCTGCCGAGCAGCACACAGTTTTTTAATAAACTATTCATGTACACTGGCAATACTTTCATGGAATCCGGTAAAATAAGCTGAAAAAGAAGGACACTTGTTTTATATGCCTGGCCATTTAGTGAGGAAAGTCCCCAGGGATGTGTGAGTGAGTATCACTGGCTTTGGAGACTGTGGTAAGGATTAGGTGGGAGCCCAGTCACAGGCCCTGGGGCACAGAAAGTGGGAATTCCCCCTCGGCATGTGGGAATACCTTGCTAACTGCCTGGAAGCTTCCCTTTCTGGTTCCCAAGCCCCTGAGATTCAGTCATAAACTCATCCCGCAGCTATTTACGAATGCCGCCGCTGCTGCAGGTTCTACACATGGAGTGCAAGGCACTCAGGGCAGCACAGTCCACCTCACAAGAGGGCTCAGATCCACTGGCACAAAGGACAGATGACCCCTAACAAGAGACTGTGATGCTACACACAACCCGGGACAGGGGCTCTAATGGAACGGAGGTGCAGCATGACAGAATAATAACAGGCAAGGCCAGGACCCTGCTACCCCACCGCCTGCTTCCTAGTTTAAGTATGAGAGCTAACTGTGAGCCCTAAATTTTATTTTTCTTTACCTTTGGTTAGCCATACAGGGTGGCATTCTAGAAACACAACTTGATGTATTAAATATTTGAAAAATAATCATCTGTACTTTGTAAGATTAAAAATTATTTGCCTTAACCTCAACCTCTTAACATTAACCTTCTCCTGACTCAATTTTAGAAAGATGGTTGAGAAGAAAAGGAACACATGACAGTAACAATCACTCGCAAATAGAAATATCTGGTCTAGAAATTCATGATTTCCTTTAAACTCCCTCTCTTAATGATAAAAAAAAAGACAAGACACTTACCAGAAAGAAAGAAAAGTTTCCCTTAGGGCTCTTTTCGGGCTTACTCCTTAACTTAGATCTCCTAACCTCATGGGTCCCATGACATTCCAAGGAAGGTATGTGTGAGGCAGAATGTTCGAACTGGTTCAGGAAACCTTATTTCAGAAAAATTCTACTTTGTAGTCTGTTCGCTCTCTCTCAACTTCTAATCTTCCAGAGAATCAGACACCTGTAAATTGTTTGGTCGGCTGCCCTGGAGGAGTTTTATCCCCACTCACATAGTGGTGCAGGGACACATGACAGCTATGGGGCCGATGTACATGGAGACCTTGGGAAACCAGTTTTTATACATACACAGCCTGGATGGGTGAAATGTGTATGTGTATGATCCTTTAGACTAGTTTCTCGGTATCCTAGCGATGCTGACGGTATTGTGGTTGTGTATCTGTCAGAGATGTCTCCTTTTTCAGTTGTTGCCCTGGCCCTGGCCATGTGACAAACTACATCTAGGTTAAACAGGAAACCTTGAAACTATGCTAGTATGGACTTTTGGTACAAAATATAGTTTTCTGCATCTAGCCTTGCACAATCTTGCTACAGAGCAGCCATAGAAGATTACATTTGGGCTCTCCTGTATCATATTCTTTTTTTTTTTTCCTTCTCTGAATATTCACGATATTACTGCTGACATAAACAAAAACTGGCATTTCAGATGCTCTCTAAAATCTTTTAAGCTAAAATCACATGCAAGAATTGACTTTTTTTTTTTTTTAAAGATTTATCTGTGCATACAGAACTGGGGTACAGGCCAGAGGTGCAGGGGTGGTGAGAGGATTCACCAGAGACAGAGCGGGTAGCAGAACAGGCAGATTGACAAAGCACACTGCAGCGGGCGGGTCAGGAGAGGCCTGCTGCACCTTGTGGGTCACTTCTGGGGCAGGCGGGGATCGAACTCATGCTTCTTTAACCTGCTACACCACCAGGAGGGCCCAGAATTGACCTTAAAGCTACTAATTAGGACATCTTTTAGATTGGTAGGCAAGTGCTGTATTGAAGCAAATTATTGTATACTGTATTTTGGATATTGAATCTTTACCTAAGCATATTCCACTGTATTCATTTACATGAATATGACACACTGTTGTACTATGTGATTTTATGTTCTTTATTCGCCCTTTATTGTATTCATTTTTAAGCACCTAAATAAATTGCTTTACTGTCCTTTAAAAAAAGAAGAAGAACCAAAGACAGCTAAATGTGTATTTTCTCATTTGAGTGCAACTCTCTCTTCTGATTTTCTCAGTAGCATATTTCTGTTTGACAATATTTGGTATGGGGTACTTTTTCAACCAAGGAAAATGATGATCCAAAGGTGCACGAGCCAAATGATGGCCATTTTACATGGCCTCGGTTTAGGGGCCAGTTTATGGATCAAGAATGTTCTTAGATTCCCATATGGAGGCAGGAAGGTACAGGTCTTTAAGAGCATCCTGTGATTTCACTAGTTGCTTCTCTAATGATAAGTCTGTGGTCACAAATAACTCCAGGGACAATCCTGACCCATATCTATTGGTCTAAAAAATGCGGTTAGAGAAGAATGGATAATAGCAGAAAAAGAAGGCAGGAGATAAAAGAGAAGGAAAGTGGATGGAGAAAATGAAGTTAAGAGCGAAAGAAAACAAAGAAACTGTCTTGTTCTGTGTCTTGGTAGTGGGGACAAGATGTGCCAAAACAATGACTCCCACAAGCCTGCCCCACCTAGGTGAACCTTGCCATCTGCTGTAAACTATTCTTATAGGAAGGGAGTGGAAATTCCTGTGAATCCAGTTTGACTGGATTTGAAGGACTCTTCACTTCTTTGGGTTTTTAAATGAAAGAAGTTGTAGTGAATAGAAACAAGTCATTATTTTCCAGTTTTAGTGATTTGACTTGCCCTTTGAATCACTCTGCTCCCACACAGGCTGTAATATATTTAAGTCCAGGGCAACGGGCTATTTCATTTCCCTTGCCCATAAAAGCTTAACAAATTGTTTGATTGTTGCCTGTAGTTTTATGTATTACCCAAACTTCTATCCTGGGGTGCCTCCTTAAAATGTCCCCTTCAGTACTTCTCCTGCCCAGGTATAATCAGGTGTACACCCTTCTTTAACAGTCTCACTTGAGTCAAGCAAACTTTGGGCTCTGTGGTGAGGTAGTAGAATTCCTGAAGGAATTTCTCCACAGATACTGTTTCTGACAATTGAGCTGTGGAAGGGTATCAAATCTGAAGTCACACTATTTGAAGAAAACTTCAAGCTATTATCTGAAGAAAACCTCAAAACCTCAAACCTCAGAATTTCTGTTTTTTTTTTTTTTATTTTATGGTCTATTTTAATACTTTATGGTTACTAACAGTTTTGTAATCACTGTATTTCCTAGACTCTGATGGATAATCATAAAGTTTCTATGTTACCTGTTTCAAAGTACAGCATTAGTTGAAAGGTACACCTGACATGTGCTTTTATGGAGGAATAAATATGTCATCCTAAAAAAAGGAATGATCTCTATCAACTTTTTCAGAGGAAATTTGGCACTGACATGATTTTATTCCAGAAATAAACCACATGTATAGAGATCTAAGGGTAGAGACAAAGCTTTTAACTTTTAAATCAGAAGGAACTGACAGCTATTTCTTCTTTCCCCAAATGAGGATCCAATCATTTTAACATTAGCAAGTAAACTTCTGGAGAGGATGCTGACTGTACCTGTTCTTCCTCAAAAATCCTGTGGAGAGTGAAACTCTGCAGACAGAGTAACATTCCCACAGCCCTGAGACAAACAGTAACACTGGGGTGGCCAGGAGCTCACAGCTGGACTCCATCCAGGCAGCTGGTGGGCTCATGTGAATTAAACAAGCTCTGAGGAAAGCAGCAATACTGGAGTCTACCGTGCAGCAAGTCTCCGACGAGAGATGTGTGGATTGATGAGGTGCTTCTGTGATGAATGAATGGACAGCTAACTGAATAATTTGGGACTTTCAGTGAAAAGTCCAAGCAAATAGCTTTATTTTTTCTACTTTAACCAATTATGAATTAGACCCCCAAATTTATCTGTATTATCTCTGTTGCTATAGGGTTCAGATGTCTTCTCAGCACCATTTCTGACAGTGAACGAAACAGAAAGTTTTCCTACCTGTGCTCCCCATCTTCTCATTTAATCTAAATTCTATACTCAGATATTTAATACAACAAGACGAACACGGAACCTCTGACATAGGGAAGGATGTGGACAAGAGAACAGACACCAAATAACACGGATGTGAGATTCTACTCTTTTCCTCTACACGAGAGTCTAACTGATGTTTCTCTAAAGGATCTTCTGAAAGTTCAAATCACTAGATGATAGCCAGAGGCCATTCCTTCAACATTCTTCATACCTCTTATTAACCTTGAATCATAAAGAATACGTTAATTATATTTATGTCTAGAAAAAAGTTGTGACTGTCATTAGCTCCTGTCCACTTTGATAGGTAATGCCTAACGTGTATTTAAGCACACATATTTCACATCTAAAGATCCATCTTCACATACGAGAGAGAGTGTGTCATTTATATTAGGACATTTCTTAGTTCTATTCTATTATTTATACATCATGGGGTAATAGTCAATCCATTATGTATACATGTTTTCATTCATGCATCCTGTAGAGCCACTGTTTAGTGTGACCAGATAGGGGCAGTAACACAACAGTTACCTGTGTGACCATATAAGGGCGATAACGCATCTGGGGGCTACCTACAGGTGGGACTAGATAAGGGCGATAGTGAAATGGGTCTCACATCTGGGGGCACAGCGATGAGTCACCCCTTTGGAATCTGAACCGAGAATCTATATAAGAGACCCTTTTCCCTTAAGCGCTGGCAGTAGCTGCGGACCCCACCCTAGGGGCTCTGTCTCAGCTGCTGCCCGGGAGCAATAAACTCTGTTTGCTCAGCCCTTCTGCCTCTCATCGTTCTTCCTTGTGGCCGGTCACAGAAATCAGGACAAAAGAGCCACAATGTTTTTTAATATTGGCTATAAAAATCTCCACAGTTCTTCTTGGTTTACTAGGTGGTATCTAATGGTTGGGGCATCTAAGCCTTCAATAATGCTGAGGGGCAGAGTGGTCCGTGACACCTTCACAGCCCCGACGTCAGCTTACCTGGGAAGTTGCAGATGGGCTTGCACAGTTCTTTCGGTAACAGGCCAGCATGTGGGCAGTTTGATTAACGAGAATTTCTCGGATCACTTTCAAGGGCTGGTGTAGAACTGCTTTAAAAGCTATTTGCACAAAACAATGAAAATGGCATCAAAATGTTGTAGTTTGTATATGGTTCCCTTCAAATGATGATAATGATAATAATAATAAAACATCTTCAGATGATCCACCAAGGAGTGTTTAAAAAAAAATGTGAGAGTCACTTGCTAATGCTCTCCTGAGTGTGATGACCCAGCATGAGTTAGCCACTGAAGAACAATGGGCTGCCTGTACTGGCTTGTAGGCAACTAGTCCAGATTTTCCCTCAGAATATGAGAAACAGAATTTGACACACAGAGAAAAAGAAACACCACTTTTCCTTCTTCTAATATCCTGAACTGGATTGGTGCTTCTTCGAAACCTGAGTATAGAATCTTGACATGGGAATGGGGAGGTAGAGAGGTGCTAAAGAGAATTCCGCTTTGGGCTCCTACCATTTCCCGAGTATCATGGCATGAATGAGTGAGTTCAGTCTGACATTAGAGCTCACCCAACCCCTCCCCTCACCCCTGCTTGCCAGAGGAGACACTCACAGTGAAGAGTTTAGGTATCACCTTCCACGTAGAACTCTGGGAACTCTCAAGTAAAAGCATTTAGCCTGGGCCCGAGTGAGTCCTCATTATTAACCTACGTTAGCGATGCCGTCTTCTCTCTCACCCTTTGCTTCTACACATTCAGAATCCACCCACCAGGCGGCTGTGCCCCCACCGTCCCTTGTCATCTACTGACTCAGCCAGCTGGCAAGCCTGGCTGAGCTGCTGGGCAAGGTGCGCAAGGCTTGGTGAAGTGTTACCTGACTTGGCAAAGAAATTGATAAGGGCATCTGTCTCACAGCTCTTGTAGACGTCAGCCAACTGGGAGCTGCAGTTCAAGCCCAGGTTGTGAATCCGAAGTCTTCTCTGGCCACTGACAGTTGTGTAGAGCACAGCACACTGCAGAGGTAACACCGAGAACATGTGTTTTCCTGGCTCATAACTGCCCAAGCTTGATCTTGTTTACACTGACAGAACAGTGGAACAACAAAAGACCTCTGAATTGCTCCACAAAATCTCTTCTATTATTGCTAAAGTCTGAACAGGACAAGTAAGAAGTCAATTCACACACTGACTGGGTTTCTATGTAACATGTCACTGGTTTAAGTTTAAGTTTTGATTGGGCTATCCCCAATTAGCTCAAATGTGAGTATGTGTTAGCATTTCTACAACTAGTCTGCATGTCACACATCTAAGATTTTATTACAAGGGGTCCATGTCCAGAAATGACATTCCTGCCCTATAGTCTTACGCAAGGATCACTCTCCTTAAAAATACACAACCAGCTTTGGCAACGTATTTTAAGCTACTGACCTATAATAGCTTAAAATTTTATTTTAAGAAAATTATAATTTTCAAGAATACAATCAAACATCTTCCCCAAACATCTCAGATTAAAGAACATCAGAGTACTTCCTCAATTCAGTGCTTATCTCGCTCCATTCTTTAAAGGTGATAGTAAGTATCTGAAACTATGACCATTAGACACAACTGCAGTTTTAATTCAAAGGCTCTATGGCTATGGCTAAGTCAAAGTCAAACGCTGTTTACAAGTGAACAAAGGAGCAAAGTAAATGGGAGCTGAAGCCTGAAAAAGGGGCCATCACTGGCCATCAGTCTCCTGATGCCTAAATGACCCACCACAATGGACTCTTGTGCAATGACACGTGACTGTTACTTCCATCAAGCAACATGTGTGAATCAGAGTATAGTGAATACACAGCAGCGTGTTCCAATCAACAGTCTTTTATCTTTGGAGAAAGAGTTGAATTTCTTTGCGGAGAGACTGACAGTCGGTGGTATTTTACTCTCCCCACTGATCACTGTCAGCACCAAAGCAAGAAGCAGACTATGGAAATAAGTAGGTTTTAAATAACCTGGATTAATGCTCCGCTGTCTTCACCCAGCTTGTCGTCATGCTTGAACTCCACGGTGACTGCCTTGTCACAATCTATGGCTGCCATTTCCACATCGGTGGTGTTGTTCATAAAAATCCCCCCAAAGAAGTCAGTGGCTCTGAAACCTAAGGATGAAGAAAAAGGGAAGTATTGTTTCCTATTGCCTTTGCTGCTCGGCTATCAACCTGAAGCGGAAACAATTATACAGTAACTGTAGAATTACTGGAAAATAAAATAAATAAAAATTCATACCTGTGCTAGTACGAACTCTCATAATAGCATCGAATCCTATTTTCTTTTCTATATCACTTCTGAGGTCATTCAGAAATTGCTGGCTATCCAAGTGAATCTACAAAATAAAGTCTGGTCAGTCTCCACTAGATGGCAGCAAAACACCTAAAATAGCCATTTTGTGTTTCAATCTTCATCAAAACTTACTTTCAGCACGAAATCTTGCAAAGGGGTCTTAAATCTTTTTCACTTGTTTTTCACTTGCAATCTTTGGTCTTATGAAATCCCTATTTTGTCATGTAAATGTACAAGTAGATCAAGGGAACTTATTGATAGTAAAACTAGATGGTATAACTGTCGTATTTGTTGGGGGGACACAGTTTCCTACTCCATGTTTCCAGGTGGGGGTACAGAAATGAGAGGCACCCCCTGACTGCTTGTTCCTCAGGTGTGAGCAGGTGACTTGCATCATTAGCAAATTTAGGAAACGAAAGCAGGGGCACAGGCACAGGGCAGCCTCTTCGGGGCCCTTTCTGGGCAGCATCTCCTGCAGGCACACACTTTCCGTCTCTTGAGGATCTCAGCCTTCAGAGGGAGGTCCCCACGCCACACCCACCTGGGCACGCCTATCCCTCTATTCTCACTGTGCTCCCGCCACACTTTGTCCTGCCCTGACTAGGTTAAGATTTTTAGGTGCAGGTTCACAGGATAAATCGAAACAGTGCCCACCTGTGCCTGAGTGTGAGTTTGTCAGAGTCAGGGGTGAAGCATCGGCAAGTTCACTTCCCCACAGACCTCTATACACTGGCATTTTCATTCTCTTAAAAACTCCCTCTTGATAGAAGCAAAGGGTATAATGCTAGACCTCGGAGTCACAGCAATTTAAAACATATTGAGCAGCTTTTCAAAAATAGTATCTTAAGTATACTGATTATAAAGTGGAAAAAAAAGAAATGATAGGAAACCTATTCTGCCACATCATAGAGGCTTAGCGACAATCTCTGAGGCTGAATGAGGTTAATCTGTTGTCCCAAACAAGGATTAGGGAAGCAGTAGCTGACCTGCACCTGTAGTTTTCTTTCTTTCTTTTTTAAATGCGGCAACGTTACTTTATGATGAAGGACTAAAGATACAGGATCTCCCCTTCACACCCACCAAGACTCCCGCGCCCTCCACAGGCCTCTGTGCCCCCTGCTCCCTGCCCGCCTCCTTCTGCTCTCCTCCTCGCCTAGTCTCAATGCCCCAGTCAGGCTTCTCGGGTTTGTTATAGATTTTGCTCTCTCTGATCCTTTATTTTCCTATATTCCACCTGTGACAGGGAGCCAATATCCAAAATCTACAAAGAATTCATACAAATCAAAAGAAAACAACAACAACCCCATTACAAAATGGGAAGAAGAGCTAAATAGACAACCAAAGGAGACATACAGATTACACATGGGTGCATTAAAAAATGTCTATCATCCCTATGATCAGGGAAATGCAAATCAAAACCGCAATGAGATACCACACTTCACATATGAAAAATACCAGAAACCACAAGTGTTGGCAAAGATGTGGAGAAAAAGGAACCCAGATCCTGTGGGTGGGAATGTAGGTGGGCCAGCCGCTATGGAAAGCAGTATGGAGGCTGCTTACAATATTAAAAATAGACTATCACATGATCCAGCAAGTCCCTTTCTCAGAATCAGTCCAACTGATGCAAAAATACAGATACACACTCACTGCAGCACTATTTACAATAGCCTAGTTAAGGAAAGAGTAAACTAAGTGCCCAAAGACAGATGAGCGGATGAAAAAGATGTGGTATATACCCCGTGGAATATTACTCCGCAATCAAAAAGACAAACGTTTGCTATTTTGATAATACAGATGGAGCTGGAGGGGATCATGCTGAGCAGTATGAGTCAGACAGAAGGAGAACGACAAGTATCAGATGGTGTTACTTTTCTTTTGGCTCTTGAGTTGACATGTGTCAGCCAGGAGCATGGTTTGCTTAAGGTACCATGTAGGTGCCCAAGGGAAAGGACCATAGAAAACCCAGGGGAAAGACTTGCTGGCTTTTACCTGGAAGTTATTGTATTTGTACAGGGTTCCTCCGGTGAGCTGAGGCACAAGGCCCAGAGAGGCCACGTCCACGTACTGGTTGGGGAACAGGAAGAGCGTCACACAGCAGCCATGAGCCACACAGTCCTTGGCCAGTGATTCATAGCCCGTGGATTGGGGCTGGAAAAGTGTCTGAAGGAAAAGATGCACAAACGGAAAGCCACAGAATAGTTTTGATTTAGATTTGACATTTCTATTGAATTGACTTTTTTTTTAATGAAAAGAATCTGTTTTCCAGGAACACAAACTGGGCTAAAGAAATGAACCATGATGTATTAAGAGCACCCAGTCTGTGCCAGGCTCGGGCCGTGTGAAATGCTGGTGTGAGAGGGGTTCCCCTTGACCCCCAACAACTCCAACAGCTCCTGCCACCCCCAATACAGACCTAGGTGAGGCAGCCCGTCTGGTGTCCAGTAGCTGGACGCCCACGTCATGGTCTTCTCCTTCCCACTGACTTGCCCCATGGCTGCCTGACCCGAGGGTTTGAGTGAAGAATACTGTGAGGTGTAGGCTCCTCCACTTCCTGCCCCAGACATGTCATCAGCTGATGCAGTCCCTCTTCCACTTTCTCTTTTTTCTGCATTCTCCCCTCCTCCCCCATTTCCAGAAACTCACTCAGACTCGCAAACGGATTACACATGTAGAAAACTTGAGGTCTTACTGGAATTTAGGTATATTTCAGCCACCATTTTTTTCCAGGCATGTAAAATTTCTGGAATTATTTGTACTTCAAGTTATCCCTAGAATATGTAACACAGCCTGGACTTTGACATTCCATTTAGCATCACCCCTTCTTCCTTGCACAAAGGAGACATTTTTTCTTCACTCCCCTTTAATAACTGACACATGCTCACTTCCAAGGACAATACCTTCTCTTTGTCCGTATTAATCAGTTTTTTGTCATCTCTGTTTTTGAGTTTCCCTGGTGCTTCTGCAGTTGGCAGGGAGGAATGGAAGATGAATAGTTTCCCAGGACAATCTGCTGCCTAAAGAAATAAAAATAAGTCACAGACAACACCTTGAGTGGAAAAGTTTACTTTTCTTTCTCTCTCTCTCTCTCTTTTTTTTTTTTTAAAAGATTTATTTATTTATTGTACATACAGAACTGGGGTACAGGCCAGAGGTGCAGGGGAGGTGAGAGGCTTCACCAGAGACAGAGCGGGGAGCAGAACAGGCAGATCGACGAAGTACACTGCTGAGGGGAGCAGCGGGCAGGTCAGGAGAGGTCTGCTGTGCCCTGTGGGTCACCTCCGGGGCATGCGGGGATCGAACTCATGCTGAAGTGGCTTTAGCTTCTTAGTGCTGTGCTTTAACCCGCTGCGCCACCAGGGAGGGCCCTGGGAATTTTCTTTTAAGGGAATTCGAATAAGTCAAACTATAAGCACCTTCCTTGAGCAAAGCACTGCATTTCTCTCACTGAATCCTTGTGGTGACCTTGGGTAGATATTTTTTTTGTTGTTCCACTATAGAGTTTGGGAAAAGAGGCTGAAAGACGGTTAGATTTGCCCGAAGTGTTCAAGCAATAAATGGAAGAACCATTATCTAAACACAGGCTTATGTAACATGATTTTAAAAATGACTCAAGGGATGTGACAGTGAGAATACTTCCTTATTTAGCTTACAGAGTGGTCTTGAGAGCCAGGGGAATCCTGTGATGCAAAAGTAAATGACAGAATCCCCCGGATCCTGATGCAGCAGCAGCATTTCCTTGAGGCCTTTAGGAAACGTGCATGAAACCAGAAGGGTACCTCAAGAAAGGCTGCACACGACTGTAGTGCTGTAGCAACAGCAGAAACAAGGAACCAGCTCAAGTCAGATGACAGGAGGAGACAGTGTGATCAAGATTACACAGCACCAGCTCTGGGAGGCAACAGAAAGATGATTGACCCTCCGTGAGAGTCAAGCTGGCATTAGGGATATTGCCATTTTATTTAAGGCGATTTTAACTTTAATCCCTGGTAGATTAAGTAATCTACCAAGTAAACTTTCTGGAAATTAAATGACACGCTATATTGCCCCTCCAAGCGAGTCTTCCTCCAAACCATCTGCCGCCTCTCAAGGCAGGGCAGCTGTCGGCGGGAGAATGGGACAGGAAGCAGGAAATGGAGATGAGTTGCTACCAACATCTGCTGCGTGTAGCTGTGTGTGAGTCTCTGCACACATGCTTTTTATTTGTTGCTCATAAGCTAGGGAAGAAAGAAGTATGGCTGCATGTGCAGGAAAAGTGAGGTTCACTCCATTGCACAGGTGACACAGCCAGTAAATGTCAGCTTTGAGGCCCCAAGAGATGGGTCTGCCTCTGTGTTTACAGGGAAAGCTTCAACAGTTCTCCACCTGCTACCCCTCAGACCGGAAATTTCAGCCACACAGGCTTCAGCTTTCCTGGAATATGCTACAAGCTTTATCTCCCACCCCCAACCACCTCCTTATCTTTTTGCAGATTCTGTCTTCTCAGCTTGGAATTCGTTTCCTCCTTTCAGCCTGGAATTGATGTCTGTAAGGCTGGATTTAACGGGATTGGCTGTGAGGTGTGTTGTAAGTTACTTGCTACAAATAATAAGGTGCACTTAGGATGTGAACACCTTCCTCAAAGAACAGATGGAGTCAAATCACATCGCACTGTCCTAGTGTGCCCTAGTGAGGGACCCTATGATAACGCTTTGTGGCGTGAGCCACATGGTGGGGCCACAGCCCTGCAGTCACAGCTCACACACCTGAGTCCTGTCATGTCTCTGCTGGGCCAGCAGGGAGCAGTGGTTTTAAGGCTGCACAACTCTCCTACTGAGAATTGGAGACAGATACAACATTAATGAGGAAGAAAGCAAAGACGGATGAAGAAATGCAGGTACCCTACCTGCACGTTTTGGCTAGTAAAGTTCCAGTGACCAAACTGAGTAAAATTAATAGTAATACTGACAAAAAGTATGTGAAGTATGATAACAACCTTGAAATTCTATAAGCCTTTCATTTTATCTCTACAACCTTTACTAAGTAAAAGTACTTTTTGTTCGTTTTAATTCTAGTAGCAGAGAAGGTATAAGACATTTTTGAAAGTCCAACTTCTCCCCAGCATTTCTGGCCTGGCTCGCTTGGTACCACTAAGGAATTCACTGTCAAAACTTCTATCCACCTAGGTAGTTTCCACTCATAGAAGTATTGTCATTTTAAACCATGGACATTGAGAATGTGGGATCTAGTTCCTGTCTATTAGATTCTAATTCTAGCCAGTTTATTAGCTGGGTGTATCCAGCAAATTAATGAAGTTCTCTAATGCCTGGTTACCTAATGTATAAGGGAGAAGTGGCAACTACATAAAAATTGTGTGAATTCAATAACCTAGTAAATATGAATAACTATGACCACACACACACACATAATTAAATACACATGTACCAACTGATTAAGGGAAAAAATCAAGGCCCATAAAAAAATAAAACTCACTACTGGAAAAATGTAGTGATATTTATCTGTTTTCCCTTATATTTTCCTACTAGTTTTAGGATCTCAGTTTCATTAAATACATACATATTAAAAATTCCCTATGTAGCAATAAAAGTGGTATTTTACTAAGATCTAACTTTTTACCAATAGATCTAACTTGACTCATATGAGTTTCTCAGACAGATTCGATGAAGGATAAATGTCATTGTTATTGTGATGGCAAAGTCTAAGAAAGGGAGCCTTCTCTGTCCAAAATATAGCTCCACTGTCTTTTTCTCTGAGAGATATGTCTATAGCTACCACTATTTTAGAATTAACAGTGGTACCTACATCTTCATGCATCCTAATGTCTTCTCCAGATCAAAGGCTCCCCAGAAACAGAAAAACCCCACGTGATTTCTCTACAGTGTGCTTCCCCAACCCCCACTGGGTCTAGTGTCTTTTAATCTATAGATAGTTTAGAAATTTATGCTCCATAAACACTTGTGGAAGGAATGTTGCTGTGATGCATCATCTTGAAATTAAATTTAGGTGTATATCAAGATAATTTAAAGACAGACTTCCCCATAACGATACAGTTCAAGCATAACCACTAAAGGTCATTTCCTGCCAATGCTTTGCCAAATTCCTACTTCACATTATACTTACTTAGTTTTATGGTGGAATTAACAGCTAAATCAGAAAATGTGCTTTGGCCGAGTTAAAGTTGAAAGAGAATGCCAGAAATTCACATATAGTTGAGTCATGCGAGTCAGATTTTGAAGGAGATGTAGGTTTTGAAAGACCCTAAAAACCAGGGTGCTGGGGACAAAGCAGCAGCACAGCAGGAGACTGTGTGGAGCTTCCCGCTGCCGAGTCAAGGACTTTTGAGAAAGCATGTGGCAGGGCTTTCCAGACAGGCCCTCTTTATCTTTGTGACACATCAGCACATGTTTTTTGTTAGTTTTCATCTATTCGACTTTGTTTCATGAAGTTTATTACAACTGCGGAGTATAGATCTCACTTGGCTTCTATCTGAGAGGGGTGAAGCTGTAATTCATGGGGGAGTGCAGGCCTGAAGCGTCTTCACTGGGACTTACAGTAAGAAAAGCTACGCTTTCATCTCCTTCAGTTCCGACTTCCTGTCCACAGGGGATGAGACCCTCGTTCCTTGACCCTTTGCTGTTCAGCTGACCAGAGCACTCTGGGTTTCCCAAAGTTACCTCTGCCCTTCATCCCCGCGCTTTTTGGGAACACAAGCAATAAACATCTTGTCTTACAGTCTCTTCGATCATACTTGAGGGTAAGTGGACTTAGAGGCAGGAACAGTACTTCACCTTAGAGAACACAGGCATTTAATACACCTCTACTGGTTGAAAAAACAGAGAATGAGCTTTGGGGTCTCTTTAGTACTTAGATACTAGCTTGTAAGATCTCAAAAATGTTAGCTCTTAGCCAATCATAAGTTCAGGTAACAATTTTATAACCATCTATGTTACATCAATTTAAATTTGATTTTAGTCACACAGGACACAAAACATTGTAAGGTAACATGTGTATGGATTCATACACCTGCCAGGCACACACACACATACACACACACACACATGCACACCCTATTTGAAAATCTTTTTCTCCCATTCAAACAGTAATGTTGCTGTCAGGCAAAAAACATAAACTGCAAACAAACCCCAATTATTCTGTAGTAGCCATATCTGGCACAGAATATTATAACCACCTAAAATGTTTCTGTCAGATGCAAGGGAAATTTTTTCACAAACTTGTTATTCATATTAATAATCTACAAGAAAAGTTCTGAGAAAGACTATTTTAAGGACACAGATATAATCAGTCTGCCAGAGAAAATGTCAACAATCAGAAATCAATAAGAAAGCCAGGAAATTAAATGATTATAACAAAAAATCTGCCGTAAGTATTATCAGTGCTTCTCCTGGTAGTTACGGCTAAAGGAAACATGCCTTAGGATTCTTATAGTAATGGAATACAGGAAACCAGCAATGACTCTTCTACATGCAAGAAGTTGAGTGGTGCATGTTCTAATGAGGTTCTCCAAAAGAAACTTTCCTCATAGTGCTATCATTTAACCACTGACTTCTGTCAAGATATTAAACCATCATTTGAAAGCACTCTGAGTGCAAAATAGCGTACAAAGCTGTATGGGCTCAGTATGCAAATTTGCAGTGAGTTCATTTAAAGCCACGCTCACTGCAGCACAAACGGCCTACCCTCCGGCTGGTAGCTCCCGAGTACCGGCCAGAGCAGAATCAGCAGGACCACAGGGAATCTGATAAATGAGAATGGTGCCGGACATCTGCTTTGTACAGAAGCACCTGCCCTTTAACTCGTGACTCCACACCTAGTTAGCCGAGGGACTACCGCCATACTGAGCGCTCTGTGGCAGTGGAGGGTGATGAACCTCTGACTGGACAGTGGTGGCAGGACAAAGGCAAGTGCATGCCCTGGCCTCACACCCCAGGTCACCTTACAAAGGCAGCTCACTATAAAGCCCTTCACCTGTGCTCAAGAGAGGTCACTGTATTTTCAGGACTATTTCCACTTACTTTGATATTTGGGAAGTGTTTTTGCTTTTTGTCTCGCTTTCAACTTGGGTGTAAAAGTTTATGTTACTCTAACAATAAGATTGCAAATATAACAAAAGACAATATGCAGAAGACACTCTGGGGGAGGTGAACAGGCCTCTGGTAAATGCTGACCACACTGACGGTGCAGTGCAGGGGCAGCTACCTCCAAGAACACTGTGGGTATGAAGACCACGGTGGCTTTCCAGCAGCGTATAACAAATGACACCAACATCACAGAGGGCACACACGCAAACTTGCTTTAGATAGTTTCTCGTTCAAGAATGCTGCTCAAACTGCCGGTGGACCTCCTGAGGATGCCAAGGTTGTTAGACGGTGTGGGCCCTCTGAGAAATGGAACATGGGATTGAGCTGGAATCCTGGACTTGGGCCACTAGAAGCCAGGCCTGCAACATTCCCTTCGACCCTACACATGAGCTTACAGCGGATCATCTGCTGCTCCTGCCTCTCCAACATGAATTGCGGGAATAAGGTTTTACCCCAGGACCTAATTTCTTGAGTATGAGTGGGGCCATCAATGACTTACCTCATATGAGAAAATTCATATATTGGCTCTAGATAACTTATTGAAGAAAGAACAATGACAAAGCTCTCAGACTGAAATGGAACATTCTTGTTTTTAGCAATGTTGAATATAACAGGGATTCTCAAGTCTTTCAGCAGCCCAACCAGTTACCACTGTTGGCTTCTACTGGGTAAGACTAACATCTCCAAGTCACTTTATGCCATACATTTATTTTAAATCTTACATGGCATTCATATGTATCCCATGGCTTTTTAAGAGATACATGCAAGTCTTTGATCCAATGAGTAAACACTCTGAAGATAAAGGAACCCAGGCAAGAATCACAGTACTTACAAGCCAACTGTGATATTTAAAGGCAAAATTCGCATGGACTTCTTCCTGAGTTACTGTTTATTATTGCAGCTGTCACTGTTATTATTATTAGTCATTTCATTTTAAAAGGTAATTAACTTGAAAAATAAAATTTATACTTCAATTTTAAGAATTAGCAATCAGAGCCAAAGTGGTATTATTCTCATACCAAGGTAATAAAGACTCAGGAAAAAAAAGTGCTTTTTAGTAATTTTGCCTTCCTCACATTGTGCCCATTACTAGGAAAAAGACCAAAGTTTTTGGGTTCTGCTTCCCAACCAGAGACAGGCTCAATTTATCTCTGCTTTTATTTCATTTGTCTGATGTCACACATGCCCTGACTGCTGGGGACATTGCTTGAAAACCCCAGGGCAGGAAAGGGGTGGAGGGAGACTTCTCTCTCTGTATCTGGTAGTTCACACAGCACTGGAGTAATTTAAAACTAGATCATATAAAGTTCACAGAAAAGCTAGGAGGAGGAGTTAAACTGGAAATCCTGTCCAAATCAACTGCTAAGATGCTAACAGAGCTGGAATACAGATGCTGGGAGCGCGCTATGGTCTGGACCAGTTCCTCCTCCTTGATTTGCTGGGTGATTTGGCAACCTGGCAACCTCTTTCATAGGTGAAACTTCCTCTGAGTGTTGTGTGTGTGTGTGTGTGTGTGTGTGTGTGTGTGTGTATTTAAACTGATTTACTAGCAGTTAAGAGATGACTTCTCACCTTGAGTGCTTCCATGCCAGCCTGGATGACAGGAGCAAAGACAGTCTCGTTTTCATTGGAGTCTGCAAACATCTCTGGAATCTGGTCCAATAAGCTGAGGAAATAAATGAGCAAAATATTTTAAAATTTCAGCATGTTAATAAATTTCAAGAAATAATCATTGACATCTCAAGTTGAAACACATACAGTTTTCATTTGACACCAAACATGTATTTGTGAATTTCACAGGAAATTCTTTAGGGAATGATGTCCTGAGGGTGACTTGGCACCAAAATTTATGGTTATAATATTTACAAAAATCACATTCTTTGTAACTTTTTTTTTCCTATTCAATACATTGCTGATCTGAGACAATAAATCATAACTTTTCTAATGAAGTTATTTTATAGCCTTGTTAAATTTCTGACAGGGTAAGATTTCTCCCCTCAGGTGTAGTGACTGCAGGCTCCCACCACCACAGTACCTGAGGTGGGACTAGACATGCTTGAGCTCGTGGCTGTCTCTTTAGTGACTATCACTATCACTCAGCCACATACAGGAAGACCTCCTTTGCTTTACCTTTCCAGCAAATAGAACAGATTTGAATGAGTATAAAAAATAGTCGTCCTGGCCCTCCCTGGTGGCGCAGCGGGTTAAAGCACTGCACTGAGAAGCTAAAGCCACTTCTGCATGAGTTCG